AACTAACATATAGAATAGTATTCAGGAATACACGAAAATGCTCCACAAAGAGTCACAATGCCAGTGAAAGGGGTTAATGATTTCAAAGAGTTCAAGAACTATGGTCGAATGATCAATGCTTCATGTATTATCATAGCCAATTTCGAGGCTGATAATAAGAAATGTGATGAGAAATATGGAGGAAATATACGAAAACTTGCTGAACAGAAGGTTAATAGTTTCTGCTACCTAGTTCACTGGATCGATACTGGAGATGTATGAGGTCTGTTCCTATATCAGAGAGAAAATATCACCCAAGAATTTGTTCGAAGGATTGATCAGAAGCTGGTAAAAATCAATGAGATCCTAGTCATCAAACATGAGCAAATAGAAACTGAGGAAGATAAGAAAAAATTTGCTGAAGCAGTTAGCTGTTAGATTTGCAAAGGTAAGTTCAATATAGATACAGATGAAATTGAGTGCTTAGAAGATAAAATAACTTATCTTAAAGAAAAGCTAAAAAACTTTAAAAAAGAGTCAGCAGAATATAATAGCATCCAAACAACTATTGATAAGGCAACTAAAGCTATTGTCAGCGAAAAAGCTAAGGCTAATAAGGTTTGGGATCACTGTCATATCACAGGTAAGTTTCGTAGATCAGCTCATAGGGATTACAATCTCAAACTTCAGATACAAGATTGGAAGATCCCAATCCCAGTTATCTTTCACAATTTCCAGGGTTATGACTTTCATTTGGTTTGTGAATCTGTTGGATGATCAGCTAATGCTCTTTATATCTAAGTCATAGCCGAAACATTTGAGTGATATAAGTCTATGAAGGTAGGTCAGCTCAAGTATATTGATAGTATGCAGTTCATGAATAATAGCTTGGCTAATCTTACGAAGAATTTGGGTAATGATCATCCTATCACAAGCCAGCATTTTAAAGACTTTTCACCTGAACAAATTTTTCTAGTATGTCGTAAGGGAGTTTATTCCTATGAATATATCAATTCTCATAATAGGTTTCAGGAGATAGAACTTCCTCCAATTCACGAATTTCATAGTTTTTTAGGTAATGCAATTATACATAAAGATTACCATCATGCCCAGAATGTATGGAAGGAATTCGGATGTCAAAATTTAGGTGAGTATCATGACCTCTATCTTAAAACTGACATACTTAGTCTAGCAGATGTCTGGACCAAGTTTTGAGAGACATGTATGCAATATTATGAGCTCAATCCCAGTTATTATGTCTCTGCCTCATCCTTATCCTGGGATGCTATGCTTAAGATGACAGGAGTTAAGATCGAGCTATTCACAGATATAGCAATGCATAATTTTATTGAAAAAGCTAAGCGTGGTGGTATATCTATGGCCTGTCAATAATATTTCAAGGCTAATAATCCCAAGATAGGTAAGGCATTCAACCCATCCAAACCCACATCATAGATCTCATATATAGATGCAAATAATCTTTATGGACGATGAGTTAGTTTTTATCTATTAGAGATTATGAATGGCTTGCTAGTTGGGAATATTTACTTAAGAATCCTGATAAGCAAAAGCAATATTTTAAATATATTCTCAATACCAAAACAGATGCTAGGCATGGGTATTTCTTAAATATTAAGGCTCACTTTCCTCTAAAGATCTATAACTATTTGAAAGACTTGCCTCCAGCTATAGAGAATATTGCAGTAAGAAAATATTGGCTAAGTCCTTATAATGCGAAACTTGTAGAACAATTAGATGGCGGATGCTTCTCTACTACAGAAAAGTTAGTTCCCCATCTTAGTCTACAAAAGGATTATGTTATCCACTATCAAGAGCTCCAATACTATGTAAAATTAGGTATAGTAGTGGATGAAGTTTCTGAAATCCTTTCATTTGACTAGACTAATTGGCTCGCATCATATATTGCATTTAATACTGAGAATCGTCAAGGGGCTAAGAATGCCTTCGAAAAAGACTTCTTCAAGCTTATGAATAATTCAGTATTTGGCAAGACTATGGAAAATGTTTGCAAATACCAGGATGTCAAAATTATGAAGAATAATAATAAGCAGGATGAAAAGGTTTTCTTGAAAAAGGTCTGTAGTCTAAGATTTAAGAATGGCTATTTGCTTGGACTTACATTAGTAGATACACATATGGGAAAGGCTAGCGTAACTTTCAATAAACTCATTATAGTTGGGGCATCTGTCTTAGGTCTTAGCAAACTTCACATATATCGCTTCTGGTATAGTTATATGAAGGAGCGATATGGTGATAAAGTCCAGCTCAGCTATATGGATACTAACTTCTTTATATTTTTAGTCGAAACTGAAGACATTTATAAAGACATGGCCAAGTATCCTGAAATCTTTGCCATTAATGGAGATGTAACTATTGGCAAGTTTAAAGATAAAATCCTGGACAATGTAATCATAGAATCATTTCACATCTGAGCCAAGTCTTACCACTATGTTTTAGCAGATAAGACCATGAATTCTAGACATAAGAGGGTTAGTAAAAAAAGTATGGGCGAGATGGCAACTGATATATACTTCCCATCCTTAGGGAGAACTTTGTTAGATGATTCAGTAGACCAATCTAAAGTTTTCGATCCTATGACCCAAGTATATCGGGACTGTCTCTTTGGTAAGAAAGTATTTTATGCAAAGAATGTAAGTATTCGATCAAAGGATCACATATTATCAGTAATCGAATCTGAGAAGAAGGCCCTCTGCCCCATAGATACTAAGCGTTGGATCTTATTTGATGTAATTACCACTTTACCATATAATCATTGGCGAATTATGGTATATAAGAATATGGTCAAAGATGATATACCCCATAAAGAGGCCAAAAAAAGAGCTATGAGTGCCAAGCTCTCAGAGAAATACTAACACGAATGTGTGTCTCACATATCTAGCTTTTAGCCATAAGTTAGATAGTGATGTGTAATTGGATCACATACATTATTATATTAGATTTTTTTTCTAACATAATAAATATTCAGTTATAGAATAAATCACTAAAATGTTATCTGATATAGTGAGCATAGAGGATATTATAGATGATATAAAAAAGAATATCAAAATAGTATTTCAAAATGGGGTTAGAGCTGAAGGTTGTCAAGAAGTTTATATAATAGAACTACATTTAACATTAGACAGATTAGCATGAGAGTTAGAATTTGCGTAAAATAATTATCAAGACACATCTTCCAATCAGATTAATTAAATTGGATAAACAGTCTCAGAGGAACCATATATATTCAAGTAGGCAGATTATGCTTTAGCGCCTTCGGCTAGCACATATATAGTTATTTTTTTTCATAAGCTGAGCTAGATAGTATTTGAGGGGCTATCTAATAAACTGAAAAACTCTGGCTAGCTTACGAAATTCATCTCTTTTAGCTTGACGCTCAGTATAGTTATAGGACCGACAAACTCTAGTCAGTCTAAGAAATTCACCCCTTATTTCATATTAGAATAAGATATCCTAATAGTAACCATTTAGTTTATGGTCATGTTTTAAATAATATTGTGTATGACGTTTTGTAAAATAATATATAAACTATCTTTTATTATGAAGTAGTTGTCTTCTACCATAGCGAGAAGAATTTAAGAAACCTTTATAGTTATATAATATAGAAAGAGAAATAGTCCTTGTACTTAACCAATTAAGAATAATATTCCAGATCTCACTCACCTTGCAATAGTTAACAATTTCAGCAAGATCAAAATGATTTTCATATAGGTGAAAAAGAATATTATCACAAATGCTGGGAATACTAATAAACTCAGCTTTTCTCTTTTTCCAAATAATAAGCTTAGATACAGCATTCTATTGATAATTTACTCTGGCACAACTTCTATAAAGATCTTTCTGACTGAGAAAGGCAAAGATAGCTTCAAGTAGTTTAGGTATTTCTAAGATATAATGCATATTTTTTTTCTGATACAATAATATCCAATTATAAAAATATTACTAAAATGAGATCACTCGAAAGTGTAGTAGTTTTTGAAAAAATCAAAGCGCTAGAGGAAAGATTGGATGATATAGATAATCGTTTAGATACATTATTTTCCTCCTTCTATTGTTCATCTGAGTCCAATTCATCTGAGTCAGATTATGAACTATGGAAAGCTACCAGCTTTAAAAAACCTGGAAATAAGAAGACGAAATCTAGAAGGAACCTAACCTGAGCTTGTAAAAAAAATTAAATCTGTCAGTCTATCTAGTAATGGGTAGAAAATCGAAGAATAATCATTGTAAGACAATAGGAAAGTTCACTACTAGCCCTATACAATATTTGCCATTATGTAATTTGGCCAAATATGAATATACATAATTAGACTAATTTTCGCAAATAAGGAATGGAAAATGATAAAAAAGAGAAGCAATCCCAAAGGGATCAGCTAAAGACGAGCTAGTTTGACTATAATTCCTTATCCCTTATTTTTCCTGATTTAGGAAAATTGAACAAAGAATTTGAAAAAAGTATAGCAGGGCTAGAAGAGGTCATAAAATTGCTGAAAAACAATATAAAAAACCATTATCAATTAATATTTCCAATTCCAATTTCCTGGCTGATTAATCAGCCTTCCAAGCAATTTGATAAATGCTAGTCTGCAAATATTAGTATAGATGTCATATATCATAGGCATAGTCCTGAACTTTGTATTTATTTTTTACATATATTAATAAACGATCCTTCAGGATACACCTTTTATGGCAATAATATTTTCGTATGATTAGGAGTATGATAATCACTCCTGAGTTGATCCTTCTGAGATCATTTCAGTATAAATTAGTCAGAGGCATTTCGCATGATGATCGCTCAAATAATCAGATTGTTAGATAGTTATTTATATTAGGAATTGATCGAAAGGTTCTGGAAAACAAGTCAGGTTAAAGTAGGGTTTGAGAATAGTTCAAGAACTTCTAGCGATTGTTACAGGATATTTATATATGCAGTTGAAAAAATACTATTAAAAACATAGTAAATTTTGATCGCCTATGAAAGAATGGATAATGTAGAGATGAACTCGGGTTGATGAGCGATTAAGTACTTATAAAAATACCTTATATTCTGCTTATTTGCTAGAAGACTAATCACCGCTTGGGATTTTTGAGAAAAATAGTTGACTGGACCGATGTACAAATCTGTATCCTTATTAATGAGCATAGAAATAGGAACGAAGAATATCACAATTTGGAAAGGAATCAAGATGTATTTTTGGGAAGTGTTGCTACTAGAATTAATAATGAAGTGCATGGTTCCAATTTCCTGAGACATCATTGTAAAGAAAAATTCAGGAATCTTATTCAGAACTATAATGTAAACCCCTTTTTCTTTACTAGATAAAGTGTACAACAATAACTAATCTGAATGAATGAATGAATATGAGAAAAAAAGGCAATATGTGAATATATGAATGGAAGTCGAACAGCTCGAAGGAGTTGAACAAATGTTAGATACTTTAACGAATTCTGCACTCATTTTTGGGAGAGACCTGAAGATTCATTCGATAGAATCCGTAATATGAATATATCTAACTGCAGACGAAGTAGGAGAAGCACTTTCCTTGCACCTTCCATTAAGGAAGTTGAACGGTTACTAGGCCAAAAATCATCTAGCCAAAGCAATCAAAGAAGTTGAACACGTTCAGAATCTCCAGCTCGTAATCTATCTCAGGCTCTATCTTTACCTCGTAACGAATATGGTGATGATATAGGAAATCTGATCAGAGGAAGAAATAACACAGTAATTTCACCCATCTAACTACCATCTCCAGGGAAACTGTACCCTATATAAGGAAATTATATTACACAATTTAGTAGATCATTTTTTATACATTTTACAATACTTTTTCAAGAATCTTATGTAGCCTATTCATCTTATGAAAAGCGCACAGATGCTAAACATTCCTTAAACTTTTAACATTGTAGATTAACAATTTCAAGTGAATCCATTTGGGATCTTTGCAATAGAAAGAGAGGAAACTCCAAAAAAATTAAAATTTTAGTTTATAAGCCAAAAATATTCTAAATACTGTAATTTGTTCAGATTTATTATTAACTCATTTTTTATTTTTTTTGAGTTTCCTTCCTTTCTATTGCAAAGGCCTCATTTGAATCTAACAACTTTCAATATGTCTAAAAAGAGGAATTGCAACGAATGCCAAACCACTGAATTGAGTAGATTTCATCCATTAAAAGGAGAAAAGTGGAGAGAAGCTGAGAGTAAAAGCCTAACAAAGGAAAACTAGAGGTAAAGTATTATTTTGTGTAATACTTGCTATATGAGTTTGGTAGAAAATCCTTTGAAAAGAGGTCTTAAACAGAAAAAAGTTGTGGAGGAAAAAGAGGTAGGTATGTATAGCACAAAGCTTAAGCTTTCTGAAGTTATCAAAATGATGGCGAAGGTCATATACGAAAGAGAATATATGCAGAACGAGAAGCCTATTTACGATTTTAACGAACTGCAAGAATTAATGGAAGAAAATGATCCCGCTCTGAAAGATTTTTTTGAACAACTTTATATAGCAGCCCAGCCTTCTGAACGTAGCAATCAAATGATGAATCGTATGAAAAAAATCATATTGTTCATTTGCTACCTTCTTTCCTTATTAAATAATACAAAAATTATCGCTTTCAAGTTTGATATAGCTTATTATCTAGATTCGGCAGGAATAAGTAACGAAGGTTTGAATACCATGGCGAATCTCAAGGTGTCTATAACATCAAGGTCAATTGATCAGAAGAAGAAATAAATGTCTAATGCACATCAAGAATATGTGGAGAATGCTCTTGGATACCATTCAGGGAATGCTTTTGTACTAAACGTTAACAACTATCATAATATACATATTCAACAGCAACCTGATACAACTGAAACCTTCTGGGCAGCACATATGGCAACAATCTTAGCAAATCCATGTCCAATGTTAGTGATATCATATTGTGGAGTAGTTAATCTGAAGATTGTGGATGATAAATTAATTCAGAAACATCTTGATAGTCAGTTTATTATAAATATGAGTATTTCTTATTATAAACGCATGTGGAATGATACAAAGGAATGTTCAGATAAAGAGCTAGTAAATAGGTTAACGATATATAGCTACAATAATAGGATAATAGAAAAAGAAAATAATCAGCATATACGGGATTCTATTCTTTTTGATTTTATTGAAAGGAATTTGAAAGGGATAGAGGATTATATGAGCGCACTCTGGGTCGTATACGAACAAGAATCAATGCAGGTGTATCTTTCCAATTATGTGATTTCTGTTGTCGCAGACTAGCCTGATCAATTGTTCATTTGCAAAGCTCTTGCGCAATGGCTTCTTGTTAATAATGAAAATATTTCTCAATTTATCACGTCATTTTTACCCATGATGGGTCCGTTTCATGTATTTTTAAACGCTTGTGATCTTGTTTTTTAAAGAACTCTAATCTGTTCAACGACATTTACAAAAGTATATTTAGCGTACATAAGAACCTTGATAAGAAGCTACGGCTATAGAAAATTAACTTGATTTATATATTATATGCATAGTGTGGTTTGATGTAGCTGAAACTATTTATTTGAAATTTGGTCATTTATGCAAAAATATTGAATTTTGTATCTAACAGATCTTTTTAGTAATTTGATTCCCTTAGTTCTCAATGTTTACGCAATACATTATCATAGGGGCAATTGACCAGCTTATGAAGAGGCCTATATACATTGTTGGAATGACCTTTTTCTACAGTTTGATCGTAGGAATTACAAACATGCCCCTTTAATGTTCTTCTCAAATATTTTTTATTAGATGAAGATTGGGCATCTGATGATTAATTTGATTACTAATCATCTTGCTTCTTTAAGTGATTGTCCTGTCGAAATAGCTCACAGTGTTATTCAGAGACGTACATCTAAATTTTTCACTGCTCAACAATTACGAAAGGAGACACATTTTAACTTCCAATAATGACATGATAATTCCTTTCAACAGCATTTCGTATATAGTATAAAATATTCGTATACACCAAAGCAATTGTGAATGCTTTTTCAAAAATGTGCTATATGGATTTTGAAGTCATTTGCAAAGATATACCCAACACGAAACTAGTATTCTTTAATTCTTAAATCCTCATTTGATGGTATTAACATGTATAAGCTTCCTTCATTAGGTTATGAAATAACAGATCAGCATCTCCCGCGAGGCTTTGTTACTTCTAGAAAACCTAACATTTTTACTTTATGTGATTTTATTAATTGTGAACATACTGATGACTCTCTTAATGGCAGTATTTTAGTGTGTAGGCATAGTTATCACAGCTTTTGCTTGTAACGATGTCAAAACAAGTGTTTAATATGTTTAAACTATTTACAGGACGAGGTTAAAAAGAATGTTGATGTATTAAGTTTAACGAATTTGATAAAAGAACAAATTGAAGCTGAAGCCATTAATGAGAATAATGAAAATGCAGTTGAAAATGAATCGGATAATGCAACGAGTGATATAGCAACAATAGCAAATCAATTAAACGATATAAAAAAGAAATTTTTAGAATTGTAATGTATTTATATAAATAAGATTTGTAAATTTCTTTATTATTAAAAATCTTTATTATGATTGATATGCACAAATTATATGTATAAGTGGCATCTTCTTAAATATTAAATTTAATCATTATTTCATTCCTACAAATTAAGAGACGAATTAATTACAGTATAATGAAAATTAATAAATTTTAAGACCTTATAATAAACATTTAAATGTTTTTATTTATACTAATCAATAAAATTAAACTAAATAAAATCAATTTGATCGGCTTTGTCAAAAGGAAAATATTTATAAACTCGTATTAGTAAGTCTTGTATTTAGGACTCAATTCGATTGGTCAGTTTGTATGTGATAATATCGAAATTATATGATTTGATTGGCTAATATTATGTGACAAAATCGATATTTTGTGTAACATTGAGAGTCTCTCCTGGAACCACCATCTTATGAAGCTTCTACTGGTAATCAACAATCATCGAATAGTGCGGAGGGGATATAAATAGTATCGGGTGATAGTATGAGGAAATGTCTCTAGATTATGCACAGCGCCTCGCCTTCGGTTAAATATATTTGAAAATTAATAAAGTAATCTTTGCCCACATAGGACATATATATATTTTTTTTAGCTTGTATAAATGCTGTGTGAACTGCCATCGAATAAATAAAACTGGTTTAATACAATTCATTTGCATCAATTTCAAATTTTAGTTACGTGATTTTTTTAATG